AAAAAAAAAAAAAAAAAAAAGAAAGAAACTTTGTGGTCCTTGAAACTTTGTGTCTTTTAGCCCCTGCTCTTGAATATTGCCTCTTACTACGCATGTGGTTAATCTAAACCCTAGATTTCTTTTTAATGAATTGCTGCTAAACCAGCTCACTCTAATTCTGTACCTAATCAATTATTTTTTAAAATGTAAATACAGATGATTATACTTAGTTTTGTTAAATTCCATTTTGTAGATTTTAGCACAACATTCCAGTCTGGTAATATAATTCAGGATCTTCACTTCTATTGCACTAGACATCAAAGTTTCACATTATCTAAAAATTTAATCACTGAGGAGACCATACAATTTATAAACAACAGGCACAAGGAAGTCTTTTAGTTGAAAATGACCAAAACCAATATCAGCTTAAACCAAAAGGAACTTCATCAGATAGAGACTGAGATATCTCACTGATCCCAAACTAGAAATGACCTGGGCCTGAGATAGGCAAGGCAGGAGATCGGAATACTCTCTCCCTCATTGATCTCTGACTCTTTGAGGCTCTGTCTCAATCTCCCCAGACCCACTCCTCACTCTCCCAACACTCCCATACCCAGTCCCCTTGAATTTCTCCCACCGGCCTTCACTTAGGTATGAGGGGTGACACAAAAAAACCCTGGAATTTGTTTATAAAAAACTGTGTATTTATGCTTACATGTTTAAACTCCAGTCACATTCAAATTACTCTCCATTTGATGTAATACACCTATCAAGACACTTCCGCGGCTCAAAACAGTTTTTGAACTTGTTGATTTTGATGCCTTTTAGTACTTCTGCCATTTTTTGTTTCACCTCTTCCACACTGGCAAAGTGTTTCCCTTTGAGGACTTTTTTTCATCCAGGGAGACAAAAAAAAAAAAAAAATCACTCGCTGGTGAGGAGGAGAGGGGTGACCAAAAAAAGGTAGCCCAGGGCAAAATTGGGTGAATACAGAAGGTAGGGCATAGAGATCATGCCAGTTTTCGTGAACATTCTGTGAGGTGTGGGAGGGTACACTGGTAATTCACCCATCATGAAATAGGCAAACTCAATGAAATAATTTTTTTCAAAAATTCACTGAAGCCGGGCTCGGTGGCTCAGCCTGTAATCCCACACTTTGGGAGGCTGAGGTGAATGGATTGCCTGAGCCTGCGGGTTCAAGACCCACCTGGGCAACTTGGTGAGACCTCATCTCTATAATAAATAAAAAATCAGCCGGGTGTAGTAGCGCGCGCCTGTAGTTCCAGCTACTTCGAAGGCTGAGGTGGAAGGATCGCCGGCGCCCAGCAGGTCAAGGCTGCGGTGGCCGGGAGTGGCCACTGCACTCCTGTCTGGGCGACAGAGTGAGTCTCTAACTCAAAAAAAAAAAAAACTCACTGAAGCAGAACATAGCCTCTGACAACAGCACCAAGTGGTGCACAGATGCCAATGGGTTCCTAGAACACTTACCTAGTAGGAGAAGCCTGTACTACAAGGGGCCTACACGCCAAAAATTAATTCTGGTTTTTTTGGGGAGTCCCCCTCCTATAGATGACCACAGACCCACCAAGACTGGGTTAAACTCTGGTAGAAGCTTTTGCCCCTTCTCCCAATTAAAACTCTTTACCCTGGATTTGATTCAGGACCAAGCCTCTCTTCAGACCACTGGAAGTTCCATTTATTTCTTACTGGCTTCCCTTCAAATTTACCCCATTGGCCCTGAGAACCATCGCAGATATCTAGAGTTTATACCTTCCCTCTGGCCCCAGACCAATTTTCAATTCCAGGAGGTAGCACTTTGGGTTAGGTGTCCACCCTGGTCCAGGCAAAGGTGGCCAAAGGGACTAGTTCAAGTAGGAAAAACATGGCTTCCCAGAGCCATCCTCTATGGCTGGGTGCAGCACTCAGAGAAGTAAATACAGTATTGACAGCTACCCGATGAGTACATGTCCCAATTTGTCTACTATAGAAATACAATAGACACCAACCCCAAGTCTAAGATAGTTTAGATCAGGTTCACCCAAGTTCAAAGCAAGGGAAGGCTTTGCAGTGTGAAAACTGTCAGAATCAAAATGGAGTCACTTATGTCAGCCTTATACATAATAGACCCGGGAAGTCATGGTAGTGAGGCAGGGTAGCTCTCAGACATGAATTGCCTGATAACAGGAATTGTCACAAGAAAATTTTCCAAACCACAGCTTGCTACATGAATTACAAAGACAGAACACTTGCCTGACACACTGTCTCCACTAATGAACTGACACCATCTCCTACCATAAGCCCTTGTAACCAATGTTCTTTTTGTGTCTAAACAACTTGCATGCACTCTTTCTCATGCTTTTATTTTTTTATTTTATTTTTTTATTTATTATTATTTAAAAAAAAATTTTTTTTTTGAGTTGGAGTCTCACTCTGTCTTATTTATTTATTTATTTATTTATTTATTTATTTATTTATTTATTTGGAGTCTCACTCTGTCGCCCAGACTGGAGTGCAGTGGCCGCTCCCAGCCACCGCAACCTCAACCTGCTGGGCTCCGGCGATCCTTCCGCCTCAGCCTTCCCGGTAGCTGGTACTACAGGTATGCGCTACCACGCCCAGCTGATTTTTGATTTATTGTAGAGATGAGGTCTCGCCAAGTTGCTCAGGCGGGTCTCGAACCCGCGGGCTCAGGCAATCCACTCACCTCAGCCTCCCAAAGGCGCGGGATTACAGGCTGAGCCACCGAGCCCGGCCCTCGTGCTTTTAAAAGCCTACCCTTGCTTTAGCCTCCCTGATGTACCTATGATTTATAACAGCATGCCTGTCCTGCATTGCAATGCTAGTTATTCCAGATTAAACTCAATATTTTTAGAGAGCCTCTCTCTGTTTGTTTTCTGCTTTTGTTTTTAAAAACAAGGTCTCACTATGTTACCCAGGCTTGTCTCAAACTCCTGGGCTCAAGTGCTTCTCCTGCCTCAACCTTCCAAAGTGCTGGGATTACAGATGTGAGGCACTACACCTGGCCTCTGTTTATTATTTAGGTTGACAGGAGGTAAAGAAAAGAGTATAATTTAGCTGGGCATGGTGGCTCACACATGTAATCCTGGTACTTTGGGAGGCCAAGGCAGGAGGATTGCTTGGGACCAAGAGTTCAAAATCAGCCTAAGCAACATAGTGAGACCTTGTCCCTACAAAAAAAAAAAAAAATTAGCCAGTTGTAGTGGTGCACACTTGTAGTCACTCATGAGGCTGAGGCAGAAGGATTACCTGAGCCCAGGAGACTAAGGCTATGGTAGACCATGACTGTGCCATGACATTCCAACTTGGGTGACAGAGCAAGACCTCAACTCAAAAAAGAAAGAAAGAAAGAGAGAGAGAGAGAGAAAGAAAGAGAAAGAAAGAAAGAAAGAAAGAAAGAAAGAAAGAAAGAAAGAAAGAAAGAAAGAAAGAAAGAAAGAAAAAGAGAGAAAAGAAAAGAGCATAATTTAGTGGTTAAGTGCATTTGACTTTGGGGTCAAACTAAGGATTAAATCCTAATTCTACCACAATCTAGCTATTTTAATCTCAGGAAAATCAATCACTTTATGTCTCAGTATCCTCATCTATAAGATGGCAAAAATAAAATAATAGCTAGTTGCAGATAATAAATGAAATTATATATCAGGCTACCTAGCTCATAGCAAGCATTTAATAAATAGCAACTATCATTATTAATACTATTACATCACTATCAGTATTATTATAAAGAAGCAAAGCTGTCATGGTGTAATAAAAAGCAGTGAATCTGGCATGATAAAAATAGGTTTCCACCATAAACTTATTTTGCATTTATACATAAAAAGAGAATATAGGGTATGTATAGGATATATATAAGATATGGGACAGTATATAACCTATATATTGTATATATAGGGTGATGGGATTTATAAGATTGATGAATAGATAGGATAAATATATTAGGATATATAGGATAATAAAAGTATAACCTTCTATAATTTGGCTCCTTGAGTATGGGGCACTGCCTGTTGCTATGTCTCTGAAAGCACCTGAAGGGGTGTACAAGGAGATGCTAGACACACGACTCTAGAAATGTCAGCCTTGTCATGTAGTGACATGAGGGGAAAACGGTGTGGAGAAACAGTCCTTTTGTTTAAAATAGAAACTTTGAAGGAAGCCAAGCTAACACATGACAAATTACTGAAGCTCCCGTTCTCCCGGAGGAGAGGGGAAAAAAAGAGCCCCTTTATTTCTGAAACGAGAAGGGGAATTACTGGTACCAAAATTCACGTTTCCTTTTTGGTGACATTCTCCAGCCAAGCTTGGCGTTAACAGAGTAGGCGATTTCACTTCGTCACCTCACAAAAGACTTCCAAATTCACTGCGGCAGACACCGCAAAATAAAAATGTTAAATACATCCTTGCTGGGAGGGGATTGAAGCCTCCACACTCAATCAAAGGTTTGCAATAATAGGATTCATAAAAAAAAAAAAAAAAGAAAGAAAGGACAGATGGGATTAGGAAATGTTGCAGTGAAGACTGTGGAATGAGATGAGCTCACAGCACCAGCCTGTCTTTTGTGGACCTGCACAATGATCCCCGAGCCAGACTGGATTAGGAAACCTCGCAACTAGGGGTCCAGAGAGAGAGGCCTCCGGTTCCCAGGCACTTCGGGGAGAGAAGGCAGAAACGATGCATCAGATTTACAGCTGCAGTGACGAAAACATAGAAGTTTTCACCACCGTGATTCCTTCCAAGGGTGAGTAAAATTGCCCTTGACTGTTTCCTTAACGTGCCATCTCATGCAAGAAGGTGAACACAATCACGTGCTGTTTTACTACGGTTTGTCCTCAGGTCTCTGAGGTCTGATGGGTCCTCTGTTTTGATGGTATTTGATTTTCTTCCCCCCTGGGAAGGATAGACATCAATCACTGAGAAACAATTCATCAAGGGGAAAGTGAAGGCAGTTAAATACTACCAGTTTCACTTAATTCAATACCAACCATCCAATATGCCAAACGAAAGTGACAGCAAGCCATTGTTAAGGAAACAGAGATGAAAACAAAAATCTCAGGGCAGCTGGAGAGATTCTTTCATTTTCTCCAGCAAGCAAGGGGGTTCTGAATTGAGAGCAGCTGGCTCAAAAGTATGATCTCTAACTGTGCCATGAAATGTGAAGAGAAATACTCCCAGCAATGACTTAAAGCCAAAGGAGCAAGCAGTCAGTTCCCAGCCCCCGGTCTGGGTCTGGCTTCTCCACAGAACCCCAGGGTCACCCTGCCAAACTGGAACTAATGCCGCCAAAAAGTGACTTTGTAAGCTCTTGACTTTATAAGCTCTGTGGTCCACAGTGAATGGTATTAAGTCCCGGGAAGGGCTATGTGTGAGGGTTCAGTTAACTCCAAGTGTCTGATTACTGGGCAGTTTCTTTGCCTCTCTCCTCCTTCTCTCCTGCCGCCTCTGCTCTCTGCCTGCACGCCTGTCTTGCCTCCATTACTCAGGCTTAGCCCCGGGTCTCATTGTCAGACTTGAATGCAGTGGGCTGGATGTTTGCTGGTGTTGTGACTCCACCTTCAAACAATTCCTTTCTTCTTCTGTGTCAGCTACGGACAGGGCCATTGCTAGGGGGGGAAGGGGGGAGAGGACTAAGTTTGGCCACAAAGAGACAGCCAGCAGAACATAAATTAAGCTTTAGACATTTACTGCCAGACAGACAGAGAGAGAAAAGAGCTAGGAGTCTGCCCGCATGCAGGAGTTGGAATTTTCTCTGGAGACTCTGTATGTCAAAGCTGAATCTCAGTCCCAGCAGCTCTAGTTTTGGGTAAATAGCCCAGGGGAACTCTTACATGTGGATGTTCACCACGGCACTGATTCTAAGAGGACCAAAATTGAAAATAACCTATGGGTCCATGAAGAGGGAAATGGATAAAATGTAGTACCATAATGCTATGGAATACTACACAGGAATGAACTAGGCCTATGTGTATGGACATAGGTAGATCTCAAAGCATACTGTTAAGTACAAAACAAGTAGGCTGAAATATTATATATGTGTTATTTCATTTCTGTAAATTTGGAAATACAAAACAATACTATGTATTGCTTATGGATATGCATCTAGAGACCATAGAGACATAAACCAGAAAGATACAGACAAAATTTGTGATCTCAGTAGCCCTGGGGAGGCAGGGAAGGAGAATTAAGGAAAGGTAGAAAGGAGACCAAAATATCATCTCTAATTCTCTATTCCTTTCATATGAGGGAGAAACAAGTCAGAAAAAACAATAAAGTTAAATATGTCTATTTTTCTATAAGTTATTTTCATTTTAAAAATCGTAAAGGAGCTGGGCTCGGTGGCTCAGCCTGTAATCCCGCGCCTTTGGGAGGCTGAGGTGAGTGGATTGCTTGAGCCCGCGGGTTCGAGACCCGCCTGGGCAGCGAGACCTCATCTCTACAATAAATCAAAAAATCAGCCAGGCGTGGTAGCGCATGCCTGTAATTCCGGCTACTCGGAAGGCTGAGGCGGAAGGATCGCCGGAGCCCAGCAGGCGGGGCCGCGGTGGCCGGGAGCAGCCACTGCACTCCAGTCTGGGTGACAGAGTGAGACTCCAACTCAAAAAATTTTAAATAAATAAATAAATAAATACATAAAAATCTTAAAGGGAAAATTCAAAGACAAAGTAGTTAAGAGACAACTACCACTTCTGTGCTGTGTGTCCTTGGGCAAGTTACTTAACTTCTCCAGACCTGAGTTTCCATTTTTATAAAAGGGAGAAATAGAACTTATCTCCCAGGATTATTATGGGAAATAAATGAGTTAATATATAAAGCATTTAGAACAGTAGCTGGCATGTAGAGAGCACCACTAAATACATCCCTGGCAAGTGGATTTCTATTTTTATTCTGTATTTAGAACCAATCAACATGTTCAGTCACAGTTAAATAGTCACTCCTATATTCTTTCCTTACCACTTTCATTCATGGCCACCCTCTGGTATTAAACCAAATATTCGTTGTTATTCATGGACATTTCACTGCTCAGGAAGTTGTCCTGAGTTGTATTTGCAATTTTACATTAGATCATAAATGGATTCAGTCTTCTCACCCCTTGCTTTGCCTCACTGGGCCTTCTCTAAAGCCTTCAAGCGGAGGGCTCTCAGTGAGAGAAGACAGCACCAGCAGGTCTTGAATCACTGCTCATGAGAGAAACTAACAACTCTTCCTTATAGCCCCACATTCTCTAACTGCCGAAATCTAGCTGGCTTGATTTTAATCTAACAAGGGCTGTAGTCCTCCCTGGTGGGCCTTTTCCCAAAAGCTATGGTTTAACCACATTTATCCACGTGCAATAACCAAACCTTTCCGAGCACAATCTCAGCAGCATGGGCAGTGTAGCCTAATGGTAGGAGAGTGACCTCTTGACCCCTCAGCATCTCCATCTATACAGTAGAGTTAATGGAAAGTACCTATCTCATTGGGGTGCTGCAAAAGTGAAAGAGATAAGACAGATAAGCCATCCTAGGATAAGATGTGAGCTACTATTACATTTATCATCGTTGTGTTATGTTTCTCTTTCCAACACACACATATTGGGCTCAGTCTAATAGCTACATATTTAACTGAGCCATGTTAAAACCTTACAAAAATATGACAACAACAATATGTAACAGCTTCCTAAGTAATTTAAAGGCACAGGACAAAGAGCAAGTCTGTAACTGAAAAAATATATGTGTATTTTAACTTTCTAGACAGTGAGACCTTTAAGGGAAAAGTGTTATAGGCACAATTCACGGTAAACACAAAAGATAAAAACTGTGGTTTTACTAAGAAGTCACACCAGAAGCTATTTCCTGAGACACACCAGAGTGGATTTATTTCTGGGGTGAACAGTACCACAACATTCAAAATAATTCTTCTGGGAATAAGCAACAATGGGGGAGGGATGGTGAGGGGAATCAGGAAACAGCAGGAGGAAATGGGGAAAGTTCCAGAAAGAGAAGTCCTAACAGAATGCTACCATCTGCAGATATCACCTACTCCCTCCACCTGCCCTCATCTTGCAGAGAAAGAGGAGAATCCTAACAACCACCTCTGATTCCTGGGAATTTATTGCTTTCCAGGTGCTGGGCCAAGTTTCTTCTTATAAAGATAACTCATTTAATCCTTGCCACAGCCCATGAGATAGGTGCTGTTATTATTTAATCTCTGTCTTTCGAATGAAGAAAGTGAAGCTTTGAGAGGGTAAGTAATTTACCCAAGCCACATAACTAGCAAAGGGTCAAGTTCAGATTCACACCAAGTACAGAGAGGGGGTCAAGAGCCATGGCCACTAAGCAGCACTCCATACTCCAGACTTCACGGGCTTTGCAGAAGATAACAAGGACAACACTCATCTGTCACTCATCTGCTATGTGATAAGAAGGCATTTTCACTCTAAGCAGGTCAAGGACATGGTGGGATTTCAGTTCTAGGTAAACCATCCTAGAAATGATGTGAAAAGCAGATGCCACATCTTTTCCCAATCAAATAACTTTTCTTTTTTTTTTTGAGTTGGAGTCTCACTCCGTTGCCCAGGCTGGAGTGCAGTGGCATACTCACGGCCACCCCAGCGTTGACCTGCTGAGCTCTGGCAATCCTTCTGCCTCTGCTTTCCAAGTAGCCAGAAAGACAGGCATGTGCTACCATGCCCAGCTAATTTTTTATTTATCGTAGAGATGAGGTCTCACCAAGTTTCCTGGGCTAGTCTCAAACCCACAGGCTCAGGCAATCTGCTTACCTCAGCCTCCCAAAGTGCTGGGATTACAGACTTGAGCCACCATGCCTGGCCCCAAATAACTTTTTAGTGGTTAATTTCTTTAAGCTTTTCTAAAAATTGTGGTAAAACATGTATAATAAAATGTACCATTTTAACCATTTTTAAGTGTACAATCAGTAGCATTAAGTTCATTCACACTGTTGTGTAGCCATCTCCAAGCATTTCTTCATTATTCCAAACAGAAATTCTGTACCCACCATTAAACACTAACTCCATGTTTCCCCACTCCCCCCAGTCCCTAGTAACCATCATTCTACTTTCTGTCTCTACAAATTTGACTACTCTAGGAACCTCATATAAGAGGAATCATAGGCCCGGCACAGCTCATGCCTATAATCCCAGCACTTTGGGAGGACAAGGCGGGAGGACCCACTTGAGGCAATCAACTGGTTCTATGCCTAGGCAGTATAATCAGGCCCCATCTCTAAAAAATTTTAAATTATGGACTTTGCAGCAACTTGGATGGATTTGGAGTCTGAAATGCTCAGTGACTTATCACAGAAACAAATAACTGAGTACCATAAGTTCTCACTCATAAGTGGACCTTGAACATTTACCATAATACTATAAGAAAGGGATTGGCAATAACCGGAAACTGCCAGGGGTGGGGGGGAAGGCACATAACATTAATAAGGGTACCTGATCTCAAACCAGCAAAGTGGGGACCAAAGGGAGACCCAAACTTTACCTGTACAATGACCACTTGTATACCTCATCCTAAATTCTTTAAAATAAAATACATTTACACAATTTTTTTTTAATTTAAAATTTTTTAAATTAGTTGGGCTTGGTGGTGCATGCCTGTACTCCTAGTTACTTGGGAGACTGAGGTGGGATGATCACTTGAACCCAAAAGTGAGTGAGACCTTTTCTCTATTTAAAAAAAAAAGATCATAGAATATATGACTTTTTGCATCTGACTTATTTTGCTTATCCATTTATCTTTGGTGATCATTTGATTTGTTACCAACTTTCTGCTACTGTGAAGAATGCTGCTATGAACTTTGGCGTCCGCAAAGCCAAATAACATCTTCCATTCCAATGACCCTGCCTCTTCTTCCCATCCCCTCCTCTATGCTCCTGCTCCACCCCAGGTCCAAACCTTCGCTGTGTTATTACTGTAGCTATGACAACCTCACTGGTGTTTTTTTTTTTTGAGTTGGAGTCTCACTGTTGACCAGACTAGAGTGCAGTGGCCGCTCTCGGCCACTACAGCCTCGACCTGCTGGGCTCTGGTGATCCTTCCGCCTCGGCCTTCCAAGTAGCCGGAATTACAGGCACGTGCTACCACGCCCAGCTGACTTTTTGACTTATTGTAGAGATGAGGTCTTGCTGCCCAGGCGGGTCTCGAACCTGCGGGCTCAGGCAATCCATTTACCTCAGCCTCCCAAAGGCACGGGATTACAGGCTGAGCCACCAAGCCTGGTTGGTGTTCTCTAAAACCATTTCTTTATCTCTTTTTGCAGTGTCCAGTCCAGCCAGAAGAAGAGTCAAAAGTTCTCAACACCTCTTGACCAAGAATGTAAGGAAACTTTAGTTCTGATCTCCTTTGTCTTCTATTAAAAAAAAAACAATGCCCACTTCTTCTCTCTCTCTCCTATGCCCTCAGTAACCAGGAAGGTTTCAATATCCCATGTGATTACTACTGCACTCTCTGTTCTCCATTTACCCAAATGTCAACAAGATACCAAGTAACCCTGAATTAGACCCTTCCATTCTGCTACTTTCCCCAGGCACAGGAAGGAAACTTCATTTTTTATACATATTTTTTTCTTCTTTAAACCAAGTCTCCATTGTGGATATAGCATCCCTGATGTACATGTTCTATTGTTAACATTTGTATGCTTCATTTTTTTACTATTATAATAACACAGCAATTAATGTATTTATAGAAAATACTACTCTTTTGGATGAATTCCTTGGTGCATAGACCTCAAAGTAGAATTAACAGGTAAAAGGATAAGAACAATTTCATCCATCCATCCATCCATCAAATATCTGCATTCCTATGTACAACAGACACTGTGCTAGGTATAAAGAACAGTGGGTTTTTAAACATGGTTTCTGCTTACAGTTTTGTCACATACTGCTAGGAATTCTGAGCAATTTTTGGGCTTCCAGCAATGCTTTTCAATTTACTTCCAACATCACCAACATTGACTTTCATTTTTTTGTATTGCATTTTGCTGCTTGAATATGCATTACCTTAAAATCAGGTTACATGTCTTTAGAGCCTAATAATGCTGTGCATTTCTCATTTTATACACATATTTATTTATATAAAAGCTATCAATACACTTCTGCACTTTTATTTTAAAAGGGAATATAATAGTTTCTTCTTGGTTACACTGAAGTTTCTAGTTCTAGCACAATTTTTCATGAGATATCATTTTGATTTTTGAAGTTTCTCAATTTTTAAAAGCCTATTCTCCATTTAAAAACAATTTTAGTGTCCTAAAAATGAGATGGGGTTTTACTAATTGTTGTTTTTATATACATTTATTATATTTTTAATTACAAAAGTTGTATGTGCCATCATAAAATTTTAAACATTAGAAAGATATAAAATACAGCAGTCCCCCTTATCTTTGGGGGATACATCCCAAGATCCCCAATGGATGCTTGAAACTGTGGACAGTACTGAACCTTACCTACTCTGTGTTTTGTTGATCTGATAACCAAGATGACTACTAAGTGACTAACAGGTGGGGAGTATATACTGCATGGAGACATTGGACAAAGGGCTGATCACATCCCAGGTGGGATACAGCAGGCTGGTGTGAGGTTTCATGATATGACTCAAAACAGTGACCAACCTAAAACTTATGAATTATTTCTCAAATTTTCCATTTAATATTTTTGGATCCTCGTTGACCTCAGGTAACTGAAACCATGAAAAGTGAAAAGGAGGATAAAAGGGGGACTACTGAATAGTGTCAGAAAATCCTGAGAAATTGTAGAACAGATTGGTTAGATATGTAGACTTTAGAGTTAAATGATCTGGGTTTAAATCCCAGTTCTACCAAATTCTGGTACAAAACTTCCTTAGCATTAAAATGAGGATAACAAGAGAACATATCTCAAGAACCATGGGAAGGAGCAAATGATTTAGTCCAGAGCCTGACATATATAAGCATTCAATAAGCACTGTGCTTTTTTTAAGTGAAACATTCCCATATACTAACATATATTATGCTTTGTTGTCTGATACTATATTGCTTTGTAATTTGCTTTTTTCTCTTAACAACAAATCTTGAACATCTTTCCATGCCAATTAGTAGTTCTACCCCTAATATATTTTTTTTAAAGCAGGATTTATTGAGAGGACAGAAAAGTTCCCACAGTGGGAGGGGAACCAAAGGGGTTGCCCTACCTCCGATATTTATATTGACTGTATAATACATCATTGTATGAATGTACTAAAATTTATTTGCCCAAACCAAATCTGAAGTTTTCTAGATTCACTATTTAACCAAATTATCAATAAATGAGGTTTCCCACTTTTTCTCTATTAAAATAATAGGATATTCTTGAACATATTTTTATTTATTTATACAAATGCTTTTGTGAGGATAAATTCATAGATACAGAAATGTTGGGCCAAAGGATATGAACATTCAAAAAATTTTATAGTCATTGCCAAATTCCTAGAAACTATGCTTTAAAGTACCTTTCTCAGAACAGCTGAGACAATACTATGTGGTATCGATGCTGTTAGTCTTTGACAATCTGATAGGTGAATATATCTTGTTTTAATTTACACTTTCATAATTATAAATGTGATTCTTCTTTTCACAGATTTATTGATCACTTCAATCTTTTTTCCCATGGATTTCTTACTCGTGTCCTTTAGTTATTTTTCTATCTGTTGTATGCCTTTTTCTAAGAATTTTTGGGAACATTCTATATATTAAGAAAGAGAAGGGCTTTTACAAGATGGAAAATTTGGTTGTAGGGTAGTCAATTCTGTTCCTTCTCGTGGTCCCTGAAAACTTAATCCCAAAGTCTATAAGAAAAACGCTCCCAACTTTCAAGGAACAGTGGGAGAAGTGTTCCCAAAAATGGAAAGAGAAGGGGTTGCCTACAGGTTACCTAGAGTTTAAGAAAGTTTTGCAACAGATCTTTCCATCTTTTGGTCAAGAAACTTGGCTCTAGTCTTCACATATTCAATCTCCCTCCAGGTGGCTCAGTAATGCCCTCTGGCCTTTTGAGTTTTTCTCTGAATATCTGATTTCCCTAACATTCTAGCTCATCCTCTGCTTGTAAAACTCAGTCTTAGTCACACAGAACATGCAAATTAGAAGACATAGGCCAGGTCTCTTCATTCACCTCCTCCTTTTATAAAGAGGAAAGAATTGTCTTCGGCCTCCTGTTTCTTCAACCAACTGGCTCTTGGCTTCCTTTTGAGTTCCTTTTTGTCTTCTCTAACTTGGCGATCTGAAAGCAATTGTGGTTGGTGATATTGGAAAGGAAAATGATTCTTATTTTGCAACTGTATCAATATTTACAACTTTCTTTGACTCAAACTTATTTGTATCTCTTCTTACCCCTTGGGCTACCACGTGGTTGAGTTTAGGGTTCCTTCCTTTATAAATATCTCTTTTTCTCTGAGCCATCGCTAGCATCAGTTATCCTTCCTCAATCCTCTTGAGTAGCATTTTCTTCCAAACCCTGGGCACAGTCACACACACTCTTTCTTCTCTAGGTAGTCTCTCCAGTCTTTCTTTTTTCTTGTTTCTTAGGTGACTTTACTGACATCTTAACCAACCTGATGCCCACTGAGTAGCTCAAGGGAATAAACGTCTACAAAGGTGTAGGTCAGTTAAGCCTTTCAGCAGAATGGAGCCATGTCCATGGTGACTCATAGTCCCTTCAAAGTAAACCCTTTCAAATAAGATAAATTGCAAATGTCACATTCTTCCCAGATTTCGTGCTCGTGGGGAGAGATTTGTGTGGGGTTGTCCTGAATTTTTGAAATGCACTGAGCAACCACTTGCACTTGAAAATTCCAATCTGGATGTAGATGCTTTTTGTGGGTTTACCAAGAGCACTCACTTAAGAGGCATGAAACCATGGTTCTTATCCTGGCTCTGTCCCTTACAGTTCTGTGACCTTGAGTAAGACACACATCTTCTTTTGGCTTCAGTGTTCCTACATGTAAAATCAGAGAGTTGGGCTAGGACATTTTTATGGATCCCTTCAGCCCCAAAACATGTTGATTCTCCACCATCTAGGTCTTGAGTGTCTTTTTAACTTCTCACCAGCCCTCTAGGCTGGCAAATAAACAGAAGCAGGAACCAAAGATGTCAGTGGGTAAAATTCTGGGACTTAGCCCTGTTAGCCTGTGTCTTCTGCTCTTCCTATTGCTGACCTCTCTAAGACTAGCAAGGGAGTATTCCTCTGTTGCAATAAGGTTTGTGGCCCTAGTATATTCCCCTACTTCAGTCAGTAGTTTGCTGACCTAGGAAAGGAAAATTCCAGCATTAAACCCTTTTCTCTCCTTGCCAATTAGCATCCCATGCCTCACCCTAATTCTCCAATCTTACCCCTATATTCAAGAGTGTTACAGAGCCTGATCTCAGACAGTGCGTTCTAATACCAGTAGCAGCAAGACCAGACTGTGTCCCACGGACCAGAAAATAAACTGAGCTGTCTGGGGCGTCTCAGGAGGCCACAGTCATCCATTCAGCTGCCCATTCCCTATTGCAGGCCTAACTCATCAGTCTGGAACCATCTCTCAGACTCCTCACTGCGGAAAATAAGAAACAAACTCCAGGCCCAGCTAAGAAATAGAAGTCTTCCAAGCTGGGCCCCATCCCCTTTCCTTTCCTGCTATTAGCATCCTTCTTTTGGAGACGAAAGAAGATACGTTGATGAGGCACTTGTCCCTAGTCGTGACCCAGCCTCATCTCCACCCCCAGGAATCCTCCTACATCCATCTGGTTGCTGGGCTGAGCTCCCTCCACATTCTCCCACCCCACGGTGCAGGGAGGTGGCATCTCTTGTTCCTGAGAGGGAACATTTGCCTCTCTTTCAAAGGAGGAAATGCTGAAAGGGGGTCTTCCCACCTGCTTTGGCAACCAGCCTTACTTTCTCCTTCTACAAAGTGGGGCTGAAAACACCACATCAGTTCTCATTGCCCCTCTCTGAGGGCAATGCTGGAAGAAAGAAAATAAAGTCAGGAAGAGCTGTGATGAAAGGTCTGACCCCAGAATGAATGACCCCAGTGTCCTGGCTGCATATAAAATATGCTGGATCCAAGCCCAAACTGCTAAGCTTCCCTTCATGACTCCCCAGAGTAAGATAAAATGGTTGTTATTATTTGTCTCAAGTCTTTACGTTTAAATTATTTCAGTGACTTAAGTATTTTTCTTACAATGTTTAAGGCCTACTTTGGTGATCATCAGCAGATGATCCTGACTAAAAACACTGTAGCATTTAGTACTTCGTTCCCATTTACGGAGATTTTCACTTATGTGGTGTCACCTTGACCCGGCACTCTGCACTGCAGAGGAAACATGAGCATTAAGGATTCTGTTTGCTCCATTTTACCAGCAGCATTTTTCTTTTAGAAATCTGGGACCAAGTGTAGTGGCTCACACCTGTAATCCCAGCACTTTGGGAGGCCAAAGTGGGAGGACTGCTTAAGGCCAGGAGTTCGAGACCAGCCTAGGCAAAATAGTGAGATCTTGTCGTTACAAATACATGATAAATAAAAATTAGCCAGCATGGTGGCACATACCTGTAGTCCCAGCTACTTGGGAGGGTAAGGATGGCTTGAACCCAGGAGCTCCAGGCTGTAGCAAGCCATGACTGCACTCCTGCTCTCCAGCCTGGGCGACAGAGCAAGACTCTGTCGTGAAAAAATAAAATAAAACAAATCTGAGAATTACTTGGGTCTGAGTTCTCTCCCTAAATCTTCCCTCGGCTAGAGCATGCAAAAAGCTATTCTCTGAACAAACCAGGCTGTCATCCACTTAGCTACAAAGACTGTGAGACCCCAACTTCCAGGGCTATCCTCATATCAAATAGCCTCTCCTGTTGTCAAAAACAGGTCAGGCCACCAAACAGCTGACCTGCCTGGATCTGGGGCCTGATAACCCAGACTCCTGACTCTTTGAAGATACTGCTGAGGAACAAACACACCTTACTCCCTCCAGAACCCTCATTTTCTTGCACCATGGCACCATCTGGCAGTCTGAAGTCAAATAAAACAGTTGACCATTTCTGACCAGCTTCCACCTCGAGTTTTCTCCCTGCTCCTAGCATTCCCTGGTGTAGAGAAGCTCCAAAAGTTCCTCGTCAACACAAGCTCCATCTGTAAAGCTGCATTCCTGGGGGCCACGGGTCCAGAGATCCGAGGAGAGGAGTAAGCTAACGACTGTGCCTCCTCGCTGGCAGGTGGTGATCGAATCGGACCTGTACACACCCCGGCCCCTGGAGCTGCTGCCTCACCGTGGCGACCGCAGGGACGCGGGCGACAGCCGCAGGTTCGGAAGGCTCCAGAATGCGCGGCCCGGAGCCCATTCCGCCAAAACCCCTGCCAGGCCCGGTACGTGAGTCCCAGCCCCAGTTCCCCGGACCTCCCTGCGTGCAGGGACCCTCTTAGAGACGCCCACCGGCCCATGGGAGGGCAGCGGCGGCCTTTGCAGCATCCTCGGCATGCCTCTTGCGTTCCCAGGCCCGCGCCAGGTGAACCGGCACGTGCGCTTTTCCCCAAATAAAGCGCCTGCACTTCGTTGGGGAAAGCCACCACGAAAGCACCCGCTCCCCGGCCTCACCTACAGGAGCCCCTCAGAACACTTTCTACCTATAAAATCAGCTTCTGGGTGTGCAAAATGAGGAAAGATGCTCTACCTACCATCTCGCTCCACAGGAAGCCGTGTTGTGTTAAGGAGAAGATGCAAATCAGTATCCTGTCGGGGAGGGAAAGCCATGACCCATAAACAAAGGAAGCTCGTGCTATTTATTTAACATATTGTATGTGTGTGTGCATAATACAGGCTTCGTAAGCTGCCATCATAAAATCTTACCATTTTAAAGTTGAATGACCAAACAATCTATAAAAGGAATGTAGGAGCAAATTTGTTTTGAGAATAGAAAACATTACAACTTTACCTTGGATACTATTTTTTATTTTTTGCAAGTGGGAATTTTTTGGAAGACAGGAAAGCTCCTAGCGGTGGGAGAGGACCTGAAATAGGGTTGCCCAGATACTGTTGTTAAAAATGGCGCCCAAGGCCTGGTGTGGTAGCTCAGGCTTGTAATGCCAGCACTTGGGAGGCTGAGATGTGAGGATTGCTTGAGCCCAGGAGTTTCAGACCAGCCTGGGCAATATAGTGAGACCTTGTCTCTACAAAAAATCAGCCGGATGTGGTGGTATATTCCTGTAGTCCCAGCTAACTTGGCATCCTGGGGTTGAAGGATGGCCTGAGCCCAGGAAGTCAAGGCTGCAGTGAGCCATGATGGTGCCACTGCACTCCAGCCTGTGTGACAGAGTGAATCCTCAGCTGAAAAAATAAGATAAAGTAAGGCCCTAAGCACTTAAACAGGAATCTGCCTCTTAGCCTACTCAAGTCTATAATGGCATTTTGCCTTTAATTGCTGATTTAGGTGATTTCTGTTATGCTCACAACCTAAAGTTTTCATATTTTAACTCCAGAACTACACAAGAGAAAATCCAGGATGTCCTTCTCAAAGTCTTTGGGCATTGGCAATTTTGTGTTACAAGAACTGAAATAAGACTCCATTGAGTATGGTCTCTTTCTCCATCCATTTTTTCTTTTTCCCTTCATAGATACAGACTAGAGCACTAAGTTTCTTTGATCACGAAGAAGCTGATTCTGTTATGATCCTATGAATAAGAACTCATAAATCAAACTCTATTCTCTATTAAGTGGTTACATACACATATATGTATGCAGAGTGAAAGCATTAGGAAAACCACAATCTGCTTTGCAAATTAAGAGCAGATAGATCTTTCTGTGTCTATATATAGGTGGGTGGGTGGGTGCATGTGTGTGTGTGGAAAGAGAAAAAGAGACAGAATATTTATCTTTTCTACAAAACCATAAAGTGAATTTAGATCCATGCTTCTCAAGTCTTAATGTGCAAAAGAAGCACCTAGGAATCTTGTTTTTATGCAGATTCAAATTCAGTAGGACTGAGTGGGCCCCAAGATTTTATGTTTTTAACAAGCTCCCAGATGATGCTGAGGATACTGCTCTGGGGAGAACATATTGAGCAGCAAGGATTTAGGGATGATCTGATGCAGTGATTCTCAAAGTGGAGTCCCAGGAGCAGCAGCAGACCCTAGAAATGTGTTAGAAATGCAGATTTTGTTGACAGAAACTCCAGAGTTAGGGCACATCAATCTCAGGTTTACCCCCCCCCCAAGAGTCTAACATACACTGGAGGTAGAGAACCTCTGATTTACTGTAACTGTCCCTCTGCCAGTTTACAGAAGAGGAAACTGAAACCATAGAAACGGTTTGACCTACCCAAGGTCGCACTGCTTGTTAACAACAGAGCCAAGATTAAATCACAGGTCTTGATTCCCTAGCTAGTGTCTCTTCCCCTTGGGGAATAATGTCTTCCTGACAGTCTAGTTTTAGGGGTCACTTTCATTTCTTTCTAAATAGTTTGTAGATGCTTGAGCTGCCTGAGTCAATTTTTTATTCTCAAAGACAAGAGCAGTAAGTTATGAAATGAAGACAATCTGACAGTTGGCTCATGCAAGGAATAGGCTAGTCAGGTTTTTTGTTCTGTTTTTTTTTAAAAAAAAAGAGAGACAGAGAGAGAGAGAGACTGAGCTGGGCATTGATTCAATTTCTTCAGCTCTCCCAGTCTGATAGATACAGAGTGGGTGGGAAGGAAGGAGTGTTTCTGAATCAAAGCCAGACTATCCTTCTGTCAGAAAGGTGTATGTCTCCAGGGACCTCAGCTCTGAGAACTGTCTTTTCCTGAGCTATAGAAGGCACTAGGATGCTGTAGCCTTCTCACATGAGAGAAAGATGCTCTGAGGAACCTTCAGAATTGTAGAGACTCTTCAGAAGATCGGCTGAGAAACTCTCTCTCTCACCACAAGGCCTTAGGTGCCTGGAAAGGGGAAAGTCCCCACATCCTGGGCCTGGGAGAATTGGCTGCCAGTAGGACTTCTTCACTGAGATGTTCTCTACCACCTCAGAATTAATTTGTTTAAACCTCTCATTCTTTCTCAGTTAGAGCCACTATCCATCCTCCCTGCAAGTCTTAAGGATATTTTCCCTAACACCTTCTTATCCTCCCCTGACCCTTCACGCATGAAACACTGACAATGTCAACTCCTAGGTATTTCTCATCTTGTCCTCTTGGTACCTACCTTAAGCTGCCGGGGTTCAGACTTTCTTCCTTCATGTCAACTGTGTAGAGAACATCGTCAGTTAAGGTCTCAGCTTCCAGCACCTTCCCTCTACAAGGCTACCTGAGGGAAATTTGTCCCCAACATCTTTCAGCTTTAAGCACTATGCCCCCCCC